CATGCCTGGGTTGCGGGCTCAGTCCCCGGTAGGTGACTGACGGATAGTGACTTAGAAATATTGATAAGAGAGAAACATCGATCAGCTGCCTCCTGCACACTCCCTATTGGGGGATTGAGAACCCAGCCAAGGTACATGCCCTTGACTGGAATCGAACCCGGGACCCTTCAGTCCGCAGGCCAACATTCTATCCACTGAGCCAAACTGGTTAGGGCCATATTTTCTTCCTATGTCTACAGATCCCCATAGCACAAGCTCACCTCTGCAATGGTAATCGTCCGATCCAGTGTGAACCGAAATTACTCAAACATCATTATGTGTAGTGCCCTTGGGAGCCGCGAGGCAACTTACACAATTGCATTGTTTTTCTCGTGGAAAAGGTTCTTTCTGTTGCTCTTATTTCTTCCTTTTTCTTTTTTCTTTTTTTCTCTTTCTGGGAAGTTCCTCTAGACCAGGAGTACTGGCCAGAAATACCATTGTCCCTATTAACAATAGACCTTTCGGTAAATTGCGGAATTCACAGTTCTGAATACAGAAACATCACCTTTTTTTGAAAGGGGAGGGTGGCTTTGGCAAGGCGTGTATGGCATTGAATGCGGTCAGCTGAACTCCAAGCTCTGTGAACAATATAGCAAGATCCTTGGTACCTCAGCGTGCAGAAGCCCTACTGTGTGTCAGCCTCTGAGGGCCTTGAGGGCTTTCTGGGAAATACAATATTGTCATTTCCTTGGGGCAGGCTGAACGAAAGTGATCAGGCTTTCATTTGAGATGAAAATGTAACTCACATCTCTGATTTCTGTGCCCTCCATCAAGGAGCTCAAAAATGTCCTGTAGCCGAAACCGGTTTGGCTCAGTGGATAGAGCGTCAGCCTGCGGTCTGAAAGGTCCCAGGTTCGATTCCGGTCTACGGCATGAACCTGGGTTGCGGGCACATCCCCAGTAGGAGATGTGCAGGAGGCAGCTGATCGATGTCTCTCTCTCATCGATGTTTCTAGCTCTCTATCTCTCTCCCTTCCTCTCTGTAAAAAATCAATAAAATATATTTTTAAAAAAATGTCCTGTAGAAATTATGTCAGATGCTTGAGTGGCTATGAGACCTGTTGAAATGAACTGACAGACTCAGTCTTGCTGGGCTGCTGAGCTGATGTTTCAGACAGACAGACAGACAGACACAGTCACTCACACAGCAGGCTAACGGGGAGGGATTCAGAGGTCACCGTGCGTGACTGGAGGCCCTGCAGACGGGCAGCCTGTCTGCTGAAAACCAATATCAATAGTAATTAATATAAATGGAGAAGTCTGGCCAGAAGGCTGAATTGGGCTCTTTGATACTCACAGGGTGAATATTTGCCTTTTATTACCTACTGCTGACTCAGTGGCCTAAAAGGGACTCTCCCAACCTGATAATCTTACCGTTTACCTAAACGATCACCTTTGATATGTCTGTGGGCATTCCCAAAAGGCAATTTTGTGTTCTAGTAAATAAATGCAGATGGGAACGGAGACTCAGTGGAACTTGGTCTCTTGTACCAGGCTCACAGCTGGCTCCCCCCATACTTTCAGATTTATGTTTCTTGTGTTTTAATTTGCACGTCAGCCCTATCTCCAAGTCTTTGAACCCGAGGCCGCGCTGGCCGTGGCTTCACAGCGGTCCGCTAACATCTCGTCTTTTGCAAATGGCAGGTTTTGGCTGGTGATCAACGAGGCGGGGAACATGGTGACTGCTCGCCAGGAGCCACGCCTGGTCCTGGTGTCCCTGACCTGCGAGGGGGACACCCTGACCCTCAGTGCAGCCTACACGCCGGACCTGGTGCTGCCCATCAAGACGCCCACCACCAACCCCGTGCTCAAGTGCAGGTAAGCCGATGGCCGTTCTTGGCCTTGGAGAAAGTTCCAATTTCGGAGGGAATCCCCAGAAAGGTGGTCAGCAATTAGCTATGGATCCCACATCCCCAGGATCATGAAGGTTCAGAAGCCTGTGTTCATGTGGGGTTGACGGCCACAGAAGCCCCGTGTTGGAACACCCTGGGGACAAATGTGTATTGACTTGTCAGCGAGGGACAGATGACACCCCCAGAGGCTAAAGGACCAGCGTGGGGTGGGAGGGACTGGGGGGAGGGGCCTGGAAGAGGTGAGATTAGACCAATGGATGGCCTTGGACTGGCCCTACTCTGCCTGGAAAGACAGGAACCTTCCCAGTGTGAGTGAGGGCTCTGTGACCGTGATATTCGGGTCTAATAAAAGGAGCTTCCAGAATAGAAACAGGCAGCTGGGACCTGCAGTCACCAGGGGTCGGAGTCCCCGTGAGCGGGAGAGTCAGCCAGGAGCCCCTCTACCCCCCAACATCAGAGGGGGCGACGGGAAGCAGTGATTCCGGGGAAACTAGCATGGCTTCTGAGAAATCGGGCGTAGAGATGGTTTTTTTATCCTCTTGTGGGGAAAATTAAAATGTGGTCTTATTACACGTTTGTTCCAGTTGCTGCATTTTGAATTAGAAATGCTAAAGGTAATCCGTATTGTCAAGCGTGTCACATCAAAAAATGTAGTTAGCTGGAAAGGTCCAAGACCCCCGAAAGTTCATAGAATGCAACCAGTTATATAACCAATATAATTTCTAAATTACCTGGAGTTTTAAAACATAATAGTATGCTTCTGTTATAATTGGTGTGTTTTATTCTGATTATAAAACAAATATATATTCATAGTTGAAAAATTGGAAAATACCAGAAAAAAAGAAAAAAGATAAACAAAACCCATCTGAAATAACTATAGTTAATATTTTGCCGTATTTCCTTTCTGTTTCTATGGCTAATATATATTTTTTTTTTCAAGAGAGAATTTTATTTTTTTTCAGTTTTGCCAATTTTATTGAACCAATAAAATTCCTACTAATAACAATGAAATAAGTTTTTGGAAGTATAAATGTGATACAGTTTAACAAAATCCATTGTTCTGTACCTATAAATAGACTTTCAAAATGTCATAAAAATTATGGCTAATATTTTTAAAACCAAATTGAAACGATTCCAAAAAAAATCAGAGTTTTGAATACTGTTATATACTTAAGTTGATAAATATTTTCTTATATCATTAAAAAAAATCTTCTAAATGCCATTTTTTATGTTGGTAAAGTGTTGCCGTCTGTGGGTGTCCTTTCTGCATTTTAACACGTCCCCGCTTTTAGATATTTGAATTGTTTTAAATTTTTTCCCAGGTATGAGGCAGAATGTGATAAATATCTTCACTAGAGGCCCGATGCATGAAATTTGTGCAAGGAACTCAGCCCTGGCAGCCGCAGCAGCTTGCCTAGGCCCTCGCAGCCCCGGCTTCGTCCGGAAGGTCGTCCAGAAGGACATCTGGAAGGACATCCGGAAGGTCGTTCGGCTGTCCAGTCTAATTAGCATATTATGCTTTTATTGTTATAGATAAGTCTTTGTTAATACCTCTTATTATTTCCTTAGGAGGGAAAATTTAGCAGTGGTTCTGTTAGAATCAAGAGTATGGGCCCTATTGAGCTTTTGACATATTCCTTTGCAGAATGGTTATACCAGCTCTATAGCCATGAGCGATGTATTGGGCATATCTCTCTCATTATATTCTGACCATTATGGTCAAGGATATTTTGCCATTTGTATGGGGGAAATGGGGATTTCATGTTGATTTCACGTGCATTTTTAATATGCCTATTGCAATTTGTATTTCACACGTGTCTGTATCCTGGCTCCTGTTTGCCACAGTTGGGTCGTTACCCATACTCTTTCGTGGTGAAAATTTTTATCCCTTAATTTTTAATCCATTTGCAATGGCGTGAAACTTTCTACATGATCCCATACAGGCTTTGGCCTCTGCCCCCAAGACCAAACCAGGACCTGTTTGGAAATCGCAAATGAGAAATGCTCAGACTCCAAGGGCAAAGATGTCAAGAATCGGCTGGTCCGTCCTACCCAAAGTCACCTACTAGTTCAGTGCAATCCTGACCCAAGTGCCAATGACATTTGCCACAGAAATAAGAGTACAATCTAAAATTTGCATAGAACCACGAATTAACCCGAATAAAGCAATCTTGAGGGGTGGGGGGAGAACAAAGCTGGAGGCATCCCACTTCCTGATTTCAAACCATACTACAAAGCTACGATAATCAAAACATTACCGGCATAAAAATACTAGACAGCAGACCGACGGAACAGAATCAAGAGCCCGGAAATAAACCCACGCCTACAAAGTCGCTTAATATTTGACCAAAGAGCCAAAGATAATCGCTGGGGAAAGGACAGTCTCTTTGAGATATAGTTTTGGGGAAACTGGATATTCATCGTAGCAGGGACAGGCTAACATCACATCCCCTGATACTGAAGGAATGACGTTGACGTCACAGGGTGGGGCAGAGTCTCTGGGCCCCAGATTGGCAAAGCCAGGCCCACTCTTAGCTCCTGCCGCCCCCTGCAGGGTGCATGACCTGGAGATCGAGGGCCGGGACTGTGGGGAGGCGGCCGCCCAGTGGATCACCAGCTTCCTGAAGACCCAGCCCTACCGGCTGGTGCACTTCGAGCCTCACATGCGACCGAGAAAGGCCCACCAGATAAAGGATCCGTTCCGGCCCACGGACCAGGTGAGAGAGCGCCCTGGGTCTTGGCCTCGGGTGACCGATGGGAGGCAGGCTTCCTTGGAGCTGAGAGCCCCTTGGGGGGCGGGGGGGCGCATGTCTGCTGAGCTCAGGGCTGTGGCTTTGCCTGGTGGCCCCCCCCCCAGGCAGGTGTCCGTCCCCCTGCCCCCAGGTGATTGCTATCGGCAAAAATGCAGCGGTTCCCTTGGGGGCATCATCTGTGTTTGCTGATTTGGAGGAGATGCCTGCATGTTTGGCCACAAGCATCCCCTTGCTGTTTACATAAGCCTAATGGTGCTCCTAGCTTTCAGAACTGATCTGTGGCAGTCACTTCTGCTCCATTCTGTGGCTGCATCCGTCTGGCCTTTTATTATTATTATTATTATTATTATTATTTTAAATTCTCACCCGAGGATGTTTTTCCATTGATTTTTAGAGAGAGTAGAAGAGAGAAGGGAAGACAGAGAGAAACATCGATGTGGGAGAGACACATCGATCGATTGGTTGCCTCCTATATGCACCCCAACCAGGGCCCGGGCCTGGGAGGAGCCTACAACCAAGGTACACACCCTTGACCGGAATCAAACCCGGGGCCCTTCAGTCTGCAGGGCTAATGCTCTGAGTCCGGCCTTTTTACAGCTTGCAGTTGGGGTCAGATCACCATGGGGCACATAGGTGTGTGTCTGGCGATCCACAGACTTAAAGTGACTACACTGGCTCTTCCAGGAACAAGGCTGCACAGAGTCATCGTAACAGTGGGGTTGGGAGCACATTGTTGTGTAGTTCCATTACTAGGGCCACTAAACAAGTCACAGTCAGCAAGAGTCTTTTTTTTTTTAATTGATTTCAGAAAGGAAGGGAGAGGGAGAGAGAGAGAGAAACATCAATGATGAGAGAGAATCATTGATCCGCTGCCTCCTGCAGGCCTCCTACTGGGGACCAAGCCTGCAACCCGGGTATGTGCCCTTGACCAGAATCAAACCCAGGACCCTTCAGTCCGCAGGCTGACGCTCTGTCCACTGAGCCAGACTGGCTGGGGCCAGCAAGAGTCTTTATCACTGATGTACAGGTTGCAGAAAAAATAAATACCCGTGGAATCGGTGAATGATTTTTTATTCGTACAAATGAGGTCGTTGAGCTCAACCGCCTTACTAAACGTGAGAAACTAGAGGCTTGAAAAGCTGGAGTGACCTCCCCAAGGGCATCTGCCTACCGACAGCTCCAAGATCCCAAGGTCATGTCCACTTCACTCCGTCATATAATTCCCGTTATCTGCAAGGCCTTCCGAATCACTGTCCAGCTTGTGTGGCTCAATGGTTGGGCGTTGACCTCCGAGCCAGGAGGTCTCGGTTCGCTTCCCGGTCAGGGCACATGCCCGGGTCTAAGGCTCCATCCCCAGCGGGAGGTGTGCGGGAGGCAGCCGATCAGTGGTTCTCTCTCATCATGGATGTACTTGATGTTTCTCTCTGTCTCTCCCTTCTTCTCTGGGATCAATAAAAATACACTTAAAAAGAACTAGAGAAATATTTAAAGAGATTGGGGGAGGGAGAAGGGAGGATCCCACAGACTAGACCAGGGGTGGGCAAACTTTTTGACTCGAGGGCCACCATTGGTTCTTAAACTGGACCGGAGGGCCGGAACAAAAGCATGGATGGAGTGTTTGTGTGAACTAATATCAATTCAAAGTAAACATCATTACGTAAAAGGGTACGGTCTTTTTTTTTTTTTTAATAGTTTTATTCATTTCAAACAGGCCGGATCCGGCCCGCGGGCCGTAGTTTGCCCACGGCTGGACTAGACCCGCCGGACCTCTGCAAAATCCTCTGTGTAAGAACGATTTGTCTCTTCATCAGGTCGCTTATTCTGACGCCAGCCCGCTCCTGATACTGTCCGAGGCTTCGCTGGCGGATCTCAACTCCAGGCTGGAGAAGAAAGTGCAGGCAAAGAACTTCAGGCCCAATATCGTCATTTCGGGGTGTGGCGTCTACGCAGAGGTAACACTAGCCTTCCTTGCCTTTTCCCTGGGACTTAACTTTTTTTTAAAGGTCCGAGAGTCTTTGAAGTGACATTAGATTCTTTCTTTCTTTTTTTAAAAAAATATATTTTATTGATTTTTTACAGAGAGGAAGAGAGAGGGAGAGAGAGACCGAAATATCAATGATGAGAGAGCATCATCAATCGGCTGCCTCCTGCATACAACCCGACCATGTACCCCTGACCGGAATCGAACCCGGAACCTTCCAGTCCGTGGTCCAATGCTCTATCCACTGAGCCAACCCAGCTAGTTTGAAACTAACAGTTTTCATCGCACATAAAAGGGCCTCTGGGACTGTTGCTTAACCTAGGTTTCCTGACTGGAACCCCTTTCTCTCCCGTTGGATCTTTCATGTTTTTATATGATGTCAGTGCCCCCTGGTGGGGAAATGTACACAGAACAGGCTGGGGCTGCTTTATACCGAGCTGCCCAGCTTTCTGGACTGTTGGTGAAACATGCAGTTAAGAGGCCCATTTCCTGATTTAAAAGGAAAACCTGCATGCAATACACATACCAAGAATAATACACACTGCCCGGCTGGTGTGGCTCAGTGGTTGAGCATCGACCTATGAACCAGGAGGTCACGGTTCGATTCCCTGTCGGGGCACAGGCCCGGGTTGCGGGCTCGATCCCCAGTGTGGGGCGTGCAGGAGGCAGCCGATCCATGATTCTCTCTCATCACTGATGTTTCTGTCTCCCTCTTTCAATCTCCCTTCCTCTCTAAACTCAATAAAAACACTTTTTAAAAAAAAAAAAGAGAGCAATGTACACTCTTAGAGGTAAAATTCTGAGTGTGGAGTTCTGCCTCGGGGTTATGATCCACAAGGTACCAGGCAGGTCCCTTTGAACTCGGGGCTTTTATCTTCAGGCCTCAGGCCGAGGGCCTGCCTCTGAGGGCAGGAAGGTCAGGCTGCAATCAGACGTTCCTGTCTCCCCTTGTCTCTACTCTTAGAGGTAAAATTCTGAGTGTGGAGTTCTGCCTCAGGGTTATGATCCACAAGGTCCTGGGCAGGTCCCTTTGAACTCGGGGCTTTTATCTTCAGGCCTTAGGCCAAGGGCCTGCCTCTGAGGGCAGGAAGGTCACCACATGCGTCCTTGTGCCTCTCACAGTCTCTGCCTGGAATACTCGGTTCAGATCCCACCTTTCCCATCAAACCTCCCGTGACCCCAGCAGCCTGAAGATCCGCTCTCTAAGCCCCCAGAACGCTGCCTCCTACTGTTACACCAGCACCTGCCCTGAGACCTTCTAAGGCAGTGGTTCTCAACCTTCTGGCCCTTTAACCAATTTCATTGTTTCAATTGAACATAATTAAAGCATAGTGATCAATCACAAAAACAATATGTAATTATATATATCTTTTCTGATGGTCTTAGGCGACCCCTGTGAAAGGGTCGTTCGACCCCCAAAGGGGTCGCTACCCACAGGTTGAGAACCGCTGTTCTAAGGCCTTTCCTCTGTGTCTCTGGGACTTTTAAAAAGAACGCTGGCTGTTCAGTGTTTCACATTTGTATGTCATATCTCCCTTGCTGGGTCAGAGGGCACGCAGTCCATTGATTCGATTTGTTCTGAAAAGTAGGCGCCAGCGACCGGCCGGCCATAGGGGAGCTTCCTGGGCTGGGTGCTTTGTGCACCTCCAGCGCAGACACAAAGGGAACAAGGCTGTTGGCCTGCTGCTCATTTTTTCCCATCTGGCCGGAGGAGGTACAGACTCACATGAGCAGTGACCGAAGGGTCTTAATCCACCTCAGTCGCACACAAAGCGATCTGACACAACCTCTCCAGACCCCCTCGAGAGGACCCAGCCTCTCCAGACCCCCTCCTCGCTTTCCCCCACTCCTTCTGCCCCCTTATTTCCCCACCCCTTTCAGTCCGGCAACATCAATCAGGGTGGCTTCCTGTAGGAGGCGGGCTTCCATCACAGTTTGCCAAGTGAGAGGAAAAGGGAGCATTTCATTTCAGGTGAATGAACTGACACACAAAGGGAACAAGGCTGTTGGCCTGCTGCTCATTTTTTCCCATCTGGCCGGAGGAGGTACAGACTCACATGAGCAGTGACCGAAGGGTCTTAATCCACCTCAGTCGCACACAAAGCGATCTGACACAACCTCTCCAGACCCCCTCCTCGCTTTCCCCGGCTCCTTCTGCCCCCTTACTTCCCCGCCCCTTTGAGTCTGGTAGCATCAATCAGGGTGGCTTCCTGTAGGAGGCGGGCTTCCATCACAGTTTGCCAAGTGAGAGGAAAAGGGAGCATTTCATTTCAGGTGAATGAACTGACACATGAAAGGCAGAGAGAGGGGCAGAAAGGGGCGTGTCTTCACGGAACTGATGTGAACTCTGCCATCTTGGGTACAAGGGTCACGTCGGTCGGGGCGAGGGCTGCGTCCACCTCAGTCGCACACAAAGCGATCTGACACAGCCTCTCCAGACCCCC